AGCAAATTCTCGCAGTTTTTCTTTTTGAAGAGAAGAGATCATGTTTGATCTTCTAAAACTCATGGCAAATATAAGTAAATAAAATTATAAATGATGTTGTATAGATCGGTTTCAAACGATCCTAAAACTAACTCTTTTTATCAAGAAATTCTATTTGATTATGTTGCACAGTAAGGTTTTCAAGAAAAACACTTGATCAAATCAGCAGAAACAAACACACTGTATTGCATAGATTTTTTAATTAGAATAAAAGGCATTTCGGGAAGCAGGAAAAAAGATTCGAAACAACAACATATGATGTTAGAATTTAAAAAGGCTCTTTATGAATCATATTTTTACAGATTATTGTCGGTAGATCGTCGATTCTTCTGATTAATGTGGTATACTGACATTAACGTGAACAAAGATGTTTCATGGGAGTGCAATTAAAAATATCATTTAACAATCAATCTGAAATGTTTTATATTTCTTACTAAGTACGATCATTACTAGCACTCGAGATATCACTCGTAAGTGTGGGTTATTAGACATGGTAATTTTTCAATTTTATGAGATTAGATAATAAAATCATTTAATATTAGGACATGATTATTTAAAGCCATTCAGTTTTTTTAATCAGAGTAATATATAGGATTTATGTACGGAATACAATAACAGAAATATTAAGTGGAAGATCACAAAGCCAGAATGAATACAACAGTTGGAAGCACAAACCTATTATTTCAATAGTGATTCCTTAAAATTGTTTGAAAAAATATTCTGCAACCATTTCGATCACGTTTCGAATATGTTTACAAATCATGGAATGATAGAAAACCTGGCCAAGAATAAAAATACTTTTCGCTTGATATAACTTGCCATGTTGGATTTTTATTATTATAATTGCCTTTTATCTGATAGTAAATGACATAATTTAAAATGCTGATGTAAATGATGAACGTTAAGAGTGTAAAAGTAAAAATAGCAAGTGTATTGTGGTGAAACTTGATCAAAAAAAAAGTAGAATGACCAAATGTGTAATCTTTTTTTGAAGAAAATTCTATTCGAAAGCTAAATTAAAACGAAAGATATGGATTGAATCACCTTATTTTCCATGCAAAAATGAAGATAGTTAAAAAAAAAATGACTCATATTTTATATTTTACAAGGTACGATCAATTAATTGTAATTTTAGTTTTTTAATAATCGTCTATTTGTTTCGATTGATCAGAAATTTATAGACATAATTATACTCCATGCTGATATTTAATTAAAAATTATTCTTAAATATTTGAAACTATATAGAAAACTACATTTGAAAAATATCAGTATAAATAAAAGAAATAAAGTATAAAAAAAAGAACCTAATAGTAATTTTTTATCATTCACTTTTGATTGAGACTTATTTTTTTTTTCTACTATATTTATTCTCTCGTTATTTTTGATAGTAAAAGTTGAACAGGACAAATGTCGTTAGTGTTATTCTTTCGTCATCATAATCAAATTGAGCCTTGTATTCTATGTGATGTGATCTGCTTTCAATAATCTTTTTATTGTACGTATAATGTGGTTATCGTGATAAATATGCTATTGTTCAAAACATGGCATGATCCTACGAGCTCATCTACAAACACATATTAACATTTGCACATTTTGCTTTCTCTTATTGACTATTTTCTCTCTCCCTCTCTTTCTTCTCATTCTTCTTCTCTTGTTGAACCTGTACATCGTACCATTTATTAATAAACAATTATAACCAGTACTAAAACTAAGATATCGATATGACTTTAGACACTCTAGTGAAATCTAAAACAGATGTAAGATAATCTCAATCCTTGATGTTAATGATCACTATTATTATAAAATTTATTTCCCTAATCAATGTCAGTTTTTTACATTCAATGTACATAATCATTGTTCCTTTAAACATTATCGTAGTTATTCTATGTTTAAAATCTGCCAACTATGTTCGAACTATTTATGAAGAAAGTGTGGATCTCAGCATGCACACTTACACCTAAACTCGGTTGAGAAGTTTGTATAGCTCATATGACAGTAGAATGCTGGTTGGCTTCAAGAAATGATACTGAAAGATTTTGAAGAATAATTCTCGATTTAAATAAGTATTTCATCATGGAACATATGAATTAATCGATTATTAAATAAAAAATATCTACATTCTCGTCTAAGTCAAACTATTCAAATACATACGAAACATTTTACTGAACAAAATTCAAAAAGAGTTTCATCAGTTAATTTATTTTCAATTATTATTACAGGTTTGTTATCAATATATTTAATAGAATTAATACAATAATGTTCAAAATGAGAAGAACAAAGTATCTTTGAATTTTTTTTCTGATGCCGAATACATTACTCAAGTCCACATAATGATTCCAATACTCAATCGTATTCTCTATCAGATTGTACTATGTAAGAAAATTTTCTAAAAATATCGAACACGATATTTTTTTAGGTGGAAGAAAATGTTGTAGGAGTTGGTTTTTAACAATAGTATCCGAAAGAGCACTCAATTCTGAATAATATGAGGCATTTCGGCTTTTCTATGACCTTCGCTTACATGCATCACAAAATACAAAAAGAACAAAACCTATCAAACAGCCGTTGAAAAATGGATTTTATTGAGATGGTTGTCACTCTATTAGGAAAGATCGTAAACATTCATATAATTGAAATATTATTTTTGATTGATATCATTTTTTAAGATGTATTGAAAGATAAAATTTGAATTGAGTAATGAATAGTTTTTGCCGCACATTAGATAAACAGAGAAATATTTCAGAACATATACCATGCGTTTAAAGAATTACTATTAAAATATAATTATATGGATCAAGAACGACTCGAGAGTAAAAATATTTTTTCGAAATATAATAATAAATCATTGATTAAGGTTTTTCAATCACCAAATATATTTTATTTCTTCTTGTAAAAATGATTTTTAATTCTAATGTATATCAATCATCAGAAGAAAAATGAGACCGTCTACTTAAGAGACACTAAATAAGGACAAAAAACTATTTCGAAAAAAAATCATTAACAACGATATGACTAGATTTCTATTGAATAGAACAAAAAGTGATTCTTTAGCAAAAATAAAGATGACTAGGAATCGATTTAATTAAAACATAAAGGAGAAAAACGAATAGACAACGTAAATGAAAGATTTTTAATATCGTTCATTGAAGGTGAAAGAAAGTAATCCATGCTTCGATTTCTCATGGAGAAGTTCACAAAACATCGAGAGAATGTATGATTAGATTATACATTCATCAAAATCACATGACAACATTGATAGTGACTATTATTTATTTTATTCATAGAAATTATTTTTACATTCTTCAAAAAGAGGTTCTATATTAAGTGAATTTAAAAAAGTTCCTAGTCCGTCTATTGATTAAATCTATTTATAATTAGACTACTTATTTCCAATTGATCCATGTCTTCTATAGTGACTAATTATATGAAGAAAGATAAAACAGTCTCAGAAAAAGTTACATTACAACGTCGATTTGAAATAGTTTCTTATTTTCAAGATAAAATTCAGCTGCAGAAAAAAATGATTTATTTTTTTCTCATTCAATTTAAAAAAAACCAACGTAATACCCTCAAAACCCTGATCGATATTACGCAGCTATTTTTGATATTTGATAATTTTTTTCTTTATACTTTTATCATAAAAACGAATGTGCACTTAATCAGTAACATGAAATGAAAAAAAAAGATTAGTGCTTTTTCTTTTCAATTTTCGTTTCTACAGACGCATCAAGTGACTTTGTTGTTTTCATTCTAGTAGAAAACAATCACCTCTATATAAATTATGGTGAGTCTGACTTTGGTCGAAAAATAAAAATGTCGAAAGACGATGTATCAAACTGATAAAAGAAAAGATATTGTTGTAGTGTCATTGATAGACTTTTTATCTTAATATTAGAAATATAGAAATAATATTTTAGAGAAAAATATGTTTTTGTGTCAAAGACAGTATGGATTTCGATCAGCGCTTTCAATAGACACTAAGAACAAAATACTTTTTCACACTATGTTTTCGTCATCAAAGTGTACAAAAATCAAATTTTTTCTCAATATAAAAGAAAGAAAAACTGCGTAAATAAACAAAAATCAAGACAGAATGGTAGAGTCACGTATAAGAGTAGTGGCGAAGCTCGGAAGTAGCTGAGTTCCTTCCAGAAAATCTTAGAACTTTCTCTATAAATGATACGATCCTATATGATAAGAGAAGAAAAAAACTTCTCTTCAGCTTCAACAGAAGATAAGCTCCTCATCTCCTACGAGTTTTTTCTGGCTTTGCCACAGTATAAGAGGACCTAATCTACTACAATCTAAACAGAATCTTAAGTGTAATTTTATGCATACAGCTTTTCAGAATCTGATATCAAATGTCAATTTCCTCTGTTGTTCTCAGTAACATGCGAAACAATATGTATTTCAGAAGTAGCACATGTTCTATACGTTTCATTTCTTCTTAGTACGGCTATCTTTTGCAAGCGTTGCTGTTGATTAAGAGAAGATCTACAACCACACTCAGACACTCCACGCTTGAAATTCCTTTTGTTCATTCTTATGATTAGTTATATAATCGACCGTCTAACATCGATTATAAGTATAATTAATTATATTTATTGATAGTTAGTGTCATCACTCTTCATATATTTTAAATATTTTGATGCCATATTTAAATTTCGTAATTTCAAAGTACAGGACGCTTTTGTTCGATATTTTTACTTTCAATATTATTCAAATGAGCCGCATTCGCAGATCAGCGACACCACAGCACTCACGCTCTTTGATGTACTCTGCCAATTAGAAACTTTAGCGTCGACGTGTCGTCAATCTGCAAAACTACCTTCGAGTGACTCATTAAATTATATAAAGTATATCAACTCATATGCTGCTTTCTTTTTTTTTTAGTAGTCGATATCGAAAATATTTTTATTGTTATTTTAGAGTCAATATTTTTCCCGTTTATTCATACAAAAATGAAAATATCTACATGTCCTATTCTATTGATAGCGGTATTAATACTATCATGTGGAAAATCTATTTCTTCGGAGAATAAGATTTTATCTATATCTGATGGACTTTCATTTGGTTTTTGTCGTAATTATTGTCGCCGATCAATAAATATAACATCAATTCCAAATCAATTAGTTGCTTTGAAAGAACCAAACTTTCCTCAAGATGCTTATCCACCTTTGAAAAAAATTTACCCTTTTCCTTTAAACCAATGGCAAGAATTGATTAGTTTTATCGATGCTGAAGGTTTTCAATCATTAGATGATCGTATTGGATGTCCTGATTGTGCAGATGGTGGAGCTGAATGGATTGAAATACAATGGACAGATCGAAGTAAACGAGTTACATTCGAAAATGGAGCTTTAATAAAAGGTTATGAAGGTCTTGTTGTTCAATTAAGAGATATCAGAAATAAATATACTGAAAATCTTTAAAAATAAATTCTTTGAATTTTATTAAAAAATAAAAATAAAATTATTTGCTTCATCATCATCATTAAAGTTTTGTCCATAATTAAAAAATCTTAAATTAAGTGAAGTCTTACTTGATTTAGTCGTTTTTCTGATAAATGAACCTATAAACTTTGATATACTTGAGATTGATTAAGTTCATAAAATTTAGCTAATTGCTTGCAAATAGTTCCATTTCCTGATGTTACATTATCAGATTGTACAATTCAAATTCTTAGGATTAATCAAAAGTTCTGATTCTTGAAAGAGCGTTCAATGATATACAGTAAATCGTGTTTTCATAAAACTGAAGAAACTAGAGTCAATCTACTGCAAGACAACTACACATACCATCTACATCTAAACATGATAAGTTCCTGAATATTATAGTCCTTGGCATTTGTCGAAAGTACTTGTAAAATTTTTTTTCACACATGAGATTTGATGGATGTAAGTATATGTAGTTGTCTATCAGTAGATTGGCTTTAGTTTCTTCAAAGTTTTATGAAAACAGGATATACTGTATACTATTCGACGCATCTTAAAAAGCTATACAACGTGATATATTTAGTTTTGCATTTCCGAATAGATCATCTTATCCGACATGGTTCGTTAAACATCGGAATCAGAACTTTCGATCAACTCTAAGCAATTAACATATATGTTTCATTGATGATCAATGCATACCGATCGTCAGATGTAAAATGAATCGTTTGTTTAGGAGATATTAAATAAGGAAATAAACCATTTCGAAAACATCAATAACAACAATAGGTATAGATTTCTACAGAGCGATAGAACATGACTGTCAATCAATATCATTTCTTGAAGATGACGGAAAAAAAAACCAATAAATGACATAAATAAAAGATTTTTATTATCGTTCATTGTACATAGAAGAGAATAATTCATGTATCGATTTCTTATGGAGAAAATCATCATTGATCATTTTTGAATTTATCGAGATTTTGTTCATTTTATTGAAGACTAATCAATAACAAATATTTTGTTCACAAAACATCAAGAGAATGAACGATTAAATTATACATTCATCGAAATCAAATGACAACATCGGAGAAAGTTACATTATAACGTTGATTTGAAATATTTTCTTATGTTTGAAGCTGTAATTCGATTGGAGAGAAAATAATTGGTTTTTTCCTAGTTTAAGCAAAAACACCAACACACTACTCACAAAATCCTGATCAATATCACATGATTGTTTATTTGGATTTTATTGTCTTTGGTTATTCATGCGTTTATCATAATAACGTCTGTGCGATAAATGGTCCGTATAAAAAAAGAAACAGAAAAGACTTGTTTTTGTTTCAACTCTGGCTTTTGTAGACTGCACAAATGACATTGTTTTTCTCTTTCTAGCAAAAAACAATCGTATCCATATAAATTATAATAAATCTGACTTTGATCAATAAATAAAAATATCGAAAAACAATGTGTCAAATTAGTGAAAGAAAAGATATTGTTGTAATATTATTAATTAAGATTTTCTTTGAATATTAGAAATATGAAAATAATGTTTTTTCACAAAGAGGATGTGGGTGTCGACTAATCGTGAATCCACAGCCATACCTACACATTCCACAACCTAGATTCCTATTAATTGCAGTGACTGAAGATATGTAAAATTAAATTTTTGCATAAAATGTGTACTTGTTCACTTCTATATGAATTAACTTTTTGCTCCTTCTTGTGATCACTGATTCGAACGATCAATAAAATTGATTGCAAGTATACGTCATTATATCTGTCAGTTTTTTTGTCATCTCCATTCACATATTTATAATATTGCGTTATGATGCCTAATGATTGTAATATCAAACAATAAGACGCTTGTTTTTTGATATTTTTACTTTCGACGTTATTGAAACAATTCATAGAGTATATATAGTATGTCGAATTATGTGCTTTCTTTTATTTACTAATCGACATCGAAAATATTTTCATTTCTATTTCAGAGTCAATATTTTTCCTTTATTCATACAAAAATGAAAATATTTACATATTGTTTCCTATTGATAATGGTATTAAAACTATCAAATGGAAAATCTATCTATTCGAAGAATGAAATTTTATCAATATCTGATGGACTTTCATTTGGTTTTTGTCGCACTTATTGTAGCCGATCAGTAACTATAACATCAAAACCGAATAAATTAGTTGCTTTGAAAGAACCAAACATTCCTCAAGATGCTTATCCACCTGTGAAAAGAATCTATCATTTGTCTGGCAAACAATGGCAAGAATTAATTAAATTAATTGATGCTGAAAGGTTTCAATCATTAGATGATCGTATTGGATGTCCTGATTGTGCAGATGGTGGAGCTGAATGGATTGAAATAAAATGGAGAGATCGAAGTAAACAAGTTACATTCGAAAATGGAGCTTTAATAAAAGGTTTTGAAGGACTTGTTGTTCAATTAAGAAATATCAGAAATAAATATACTGAAAATCTTTAAAAATAAATTCTTTAAATTTTATTAAAAAATAAAATTATTTGCTTCATCATCATCATTAAAGTTTTGTCAATAATTAAAAGATCTTAAACTAAATGAAGACTTACTTGATACTATCAAACTTTGATTTTCTTAAGTATAGTTTACTTGCTAAAATTTTTTTGTTTTCTCTTAAAGTAAGAATCAAAAAGAAGTCTGCAGACAACAACAGATTGAATCACACTTGTCAATATATTGTCGAGACATATTTACAAATCTATATAAATATCTAGTTCATTGTCTGAAAACAGTTGCATTTCTTGATGCATCATAATCAGATTTAAATAAACTAGGAGTATACTATTGATAGCAGTGAATGTGAAATTGTTGACTTGACTGTGTGATAATAATTATCTTTGATATCAAACAGATGTTTTAACTATTTATTTTGTTGTTTTAGCAATTTGATTGTCTTATTTGTCAATGATATCTGTATGGATTAGTGTGATTATCTCTTCATTTTCATAAAGGAGCCATTTGTATACTATCAGCTATTACAGTATTCATATGATATGATGTATTTCTTCGCTATTCATGGCTATTGAATATTGCCCTGTGGGATATTCTGACATTTGATAATGTGTAATTCAATATTGATGCCATTTGACAACATATCCAGAAGAATTCCATCATATTCTTTACTCTTTTTCACTTTCTTTTTAACACAAACTGATGATCAATGAAGTTGAGTATAGTAAAAAGTTTCAAAATTTAAAACAACAAACATTTACATTGAAATCTAAAACTTAATTTCTACATGTATTCAAGAATAAAGACAGAATCAGTAAATACTCGTTAGAGCAGACAAGTTGTCTCTTTTAGCGTAAACTTATGCATATTCAAATCTTTGAAGTCGATTCTATTGGGAGTTTAAAAGAACATTAACAGATTTCTTAATATCAAAATGTTCAATATTTTCATCTTATTTCTACTATATACATGACATAAATATGTTTGAAATACATTAGTCTACTAGTGATGATAATTTTTCTATGTGAGTATATTTGTTCTATGGTTAATATCATCGTTTTTATAGATAAAAAAAAAATAAATCATTTGTTTATATTATTCTGTTTTATTATTTGTTTACAAATTAGTGTATTAATCATGAAATGAATATGAGAACTTTTAGAAACAATATGATCTACTCCGTTATTCGTTTTCTCCTGATATCTATTTCAACATATGCCATCATTGTTGATGTTGTCATGAAAAGATTAGATGCAGATTTTCTAAATATGATACAATCGATAAATATTTTCTTTTTGATTAAATGATGGAATATGTGTTGAAAAATATTATTCGTTTATTGTTCTGACAGCAATTTGATAAGAGTTTACTTAACACTTATGTATGAATAAATAAAAAAGATAATAGTAGTACATGAGCAGTGATTTAGTTTGGAATATCAGACAATACGACAATTAATATGAATGCAAAACAATTGAAAACTATTTCAAATGAACTATAGATTTGATTTGATATTGTCGTTTTTGTTTTTCCTTCGAGTTATTTATTGCTGAATTTCTTTTGAAAGTAATAAATAATTCGGAGGAACGATACGTTATTTCAATTAAATAGATCAATATAATTTGATTTCAATTTATCAAATTAATTTATATTGAAATATTCATAGCGTTTTCTATTATAGGATGAATTTTTATTCTCGAATAAATCTAGAAATTGAAATACAATAACAGAGTTCACGTGTTTAAAAATAAAATCAAAAGAAAAGAATCGAATTTAACATTTTTCACAATCAAAAGAAATTTTTGGTATTGGAATAGGACAAGATTTTCTTCATCACTATTACTATTTCAAAATAAGAAAAATAATCTCATTAATACTTTCAGACAAAATTAAATGTATTCTTTCAATAATTTTATCTCTTTATATCATACTTATATCGAATGAAACTGAATCATATGTAAACCTTTTTATATTAGATGAAATAAATAAACAAGCTAATCATTCAGCATAACGAATTGTCTAAAGAAAAATTTCAATTATTTATCATGATAATTCGGAATCTGGAATGTAACATTTAAACTTGCAGAGTGTATGTATTTTTTTCGAATCATAAGTAGAGTATATCAACGTGTACAACAATGAAGTTTTTCTTAATAATGCATTTACAACAAAAAAAACAAAGAGAAATTCATTATTATTCGTTTGACAACAACTAATCATCGATAATATAATAATCTAACAACTTATTCTTGTTGTTTTCTTCATGAAATAATCAAAGAGAGACTCAAGGATAGAAGAAAACTTAAAAAAACTCATTAATAACACGATTTACTTCTATCGTCTAAGTCTCCCAAATCATTTAACTTTGATCTTACACTCTAATTGAGAATACATTTCAAACTAAATAGACATCGGCGAGTGTACTCATAAGAAAAAAAGGCAGTTCTTAAAACAAAAGCAATTCATAGTTTACTGATACAGATTCTGGTTTTCGCATCCATACTAAGAGAAAATATCAAATCTCTTTCAGAATACATTTTAAGTTACCTTTCTATGAGAAACTGTAACATTGTTTTATTTCGAGTATTTTAAATATTTGATTATTTTTGAATTAATAATAAATAAATGGGATATAATAACAAATGCAACTTTTGTTTTAGTCAGTGTTGCTCGCTAGTGAATATTCCTAAGCATTGAAATCATGCATTAACAAACAAAATTCACATCCTTCGATGCTTTTCTTGGCCTCAAGATTTTATTGTTTTGTAAAAACATCTATTGAAAAATGTTGTCCTTATTTCAATTTGCAAGGAAGTAGTGATCGTCATACAATTGGAAACGCAAGTAGAACCAGTATTCTCTTGAACAGCGCTGATTTCATTCCCTCCGCAATTGTTTACAAATCTTAGTTTATCGTCATCGAAATTTCATCAACTTATTCGTTTTTTGCTCATCAATTCCTCAAAATCATGCTTGTCTACCGTTGCCTTACAAAATTTGGTCAATTTTATCGAAAACCTACCAATCAATTGCTTGAATGATCGCCCTCTTTCTTCAATTTTAGCAGACCTGGAACACGTCTGAATAGGAAAAAAAATGTAAAAGAGCATGTATGTACATTTAGCATCCGTCTGATACATCTATCAATAAAAACAGAACTGAGCTGTGGAAACGAAGCTACTTTACATATAAATCAACGATGAGTCTGTCATCTGTGTTCGATAGATGTCGTTATTTTCATCATTCTACATTTACACAAACAAAAATGAACAAAATATTTTTCTTTATTTTTTTTAAGTGAAAGATAAATTTTGTTTGATAATTAAATAAATATAAAAGAACTAAAATGATTAGTTAACAATGTTTTATTATTTTGTTTTCATGCCTCTATAACGATTAATGATAATAATTATAAAATTTAATTAAATAAAAATTTTTTTATTATTATTTTTTTAATATTATAATTCATATAATCAATTATGTTTGATCAATGCGAAGGCAGTCTAACAATTTGTCTAGTATGCCGCCTGACCAATGAAAAAAATATGAACGAAAAAGAAAAATCGTTCTTTGTTTGACGTATTTCTTCATTCATTCTCGATTCAAAGGCGCACTCAGTTACGTATAACTTGTTAAAACGAAATAACGACATTGTAAAGTATTAAAGTTATAATAAAATATTTATTTATTTGTTTTTATTCATTTTAGATCGTCATAACTTGTTATTCTACTAGTCTTTATATCTCTTATCCTTCATCTTTCCTCTGTTTTTTTTTTCCTCTTTTCTTCTTCTTCCTGTCTATTAGATTAATCTAACAGAGAACAAAAAAGAAATGTCGACAGAAATCGAAATCAAAGGCAAAAAGGTTAATTTCTTTTTTTTTTGTTTTGTTCTTTGTTTTATATTTATTAAAAAATAAATAAAAATATTTTAGCGAACTCATGATGAAGATGATGAATCTAGTGGAGCTGCTGAAACAACAACAACAGGTTCAAAGAAAAAGGCAACACCAGTAAAAGCAGCAACATCGACAACAAAAAATCGACCAACAAAGACTGACGATGATGAATCACGTGGAGATTCGAATGATGAAGATTCAAATAGTGTTGATGTAAAAAAACGAAATGGTAAACCAAGTTCAACGGATGCTGGCGCCAGTGGTAAATTTTTTTTTTTTTAATGATTTATATATTATTTTATTTTTCTTAGGTGATCTAGATGAAAGTGGCGATTATGAAGAAGATGATGATGAAAATTCTGATGATGATGGTACATTAATTAATATCTATTAAATAATGATTTATTATGATTACTTTTTGCTTTTTTTTTTTTCTTAGATTATAAAGGTGATGGTAGTGAAGGAGAAAGTGGCGAAGGTAAAAAGAAATCAATTAAAAAAACCTATTCTATTTTATTAGTTCAATAGATGCTAGCGATGTAGTTGCCGGTGATGACGATGAGGAATCGAAAGATGTCGGTGATGATGATGAAGAAGAAGGCGATGAAGCATCTCGAGAGTAAAAAAAAAAGAATAAAAAAATTCAAATCCGTATGCACACATACATTTATTAACTTTTTTTTTTCTTTTTTTTTTTTTCGTGTGTGACGTTCAACGTCTCTCTTGCTATCTCTTCTACTGATGTCTGACTGGCGTACCGTCAGCAGCAGCTCAGTTTTGTGATTGTTCGATAGACGTTCGTTTTCTTTCTCTCTTTTCTTTTCTTCTTTCGTTTGTCAACATCATTGTTGTGTACTTTTCTTTTTTCTCTTCTCTCTACATTTCACTTCTTTTTTTTTTTTCTTCTTCTTCTATGTATGTCTCTGATCCAGCTGTGGTTATGTATCTTTTCTATTCTTCGTGTATGTGTGTCGTATTCTGCAAAGGAAAAAAACATTGTGTCTATCTATCTTGTTAACAAACAACAAAGATACACGAAAGAATTGTATCAATAAAAAAAAAAACAAATTCATTTTCTTGTATTCATGGAATTTATTAGGATTTTTTGTTTTTTTCTTTGCAAGTTTTGTTATATATATATATATATAGAAGCTTAAAAGAATTTATCTATGTTTGAATTCAATGATAAGATTTATGAGAATCGTTTGTATTATATCTTTTATCAGATTATTCATAGATATGATGATATATAATAGACTAGATTTTTTTCTTTTATTTACTTTGAAAAGATTTAAGAAGAAATTTTCATGATTAATTATCATATGAGAATGTTCAATGAAACGTTTAAGAACGATATATAAAATGTTCAGTTTTAATAAACTATGTTTGCCTGTTATTGTACTGTCTTCGGTCATTCTGTTGCATGTATAACCTCTTTCTCGTCAACACATATATTATGCTCTTGTCTTGACCTTTTTCTTATACACTACGAATATGTACATTTTATGCATGACTCGACTTTTCTACCTACAAAAAAAAAAAAAAGAAAAAAAGTGACACGATGACACGAATATAATTTGCAAGAAAAAAATTGGTTCATTTTTATTTTAATTATGTCTACACATTGATTGGTGTATTCTACATGTTCAGCACTGCGTGAAGGTGAAGGTGCTGTGATTAAAATGAGAATATTCGTAAAAGTTGAATTGATTAATGGATATGAATCTAACTTAATTTACACTAATATTGAAAGCAAAAAGAAAACCAAAATTTTAAGTTGAAGTGAAAAAAATCTTTCAATATAAATCATTGAGGTGAATAGTAGGATAGATAACTAAGTGTATTTATCAGGAATAATGAAAAAGCAGACATTCTAAGTCAATGTCTTTATTATATAGTAACCTAGGTGAAATAATGAGACGATAAAATCTTTCACGATCGTATCTTACATTTTATACTTGATGTCTTATGAGATATACACTCGGAAACAATTGAATTTATACCCTTTGATCTTTTTGTTTTTTATTACTGTACGGTTTTATCTATTAACTTGCTATATATATAGGGAGAAAGCCCAGAACCCGCTGCATCTTTTGGTATATTTACGTTGAACATCAAATGCAGTTTAAAGTATAAAAAGTGTATTAGAAAAAAAAATAACATTTTTTTATTGCCAAAACTGGGTGTCCATAATGTTGTCACATTTTTTTTTATTTCGCATATATCTCGGCTTAGGAAAATGATAAAACCTTGGATCTTTTTTCAAAAGATGTGCCGTGAAAAGCTCTACAAAAGCCATATGATTGAATTCCTTTTTACCTGTTCTAATGGTTTTTCTTTTGCTCAAAAGGAAAAACTTACAGGTCTAGTTTTACTTCCCATAATATAGAAAGTATTGCGAGAACTTTTTCGATTCACTATATAGGATTCTGTCTATACAAGTTTTGTAGAGCTTTCGACGGCACATATTTTAAAAACAAATTCAATATTCCATCATTTTCTCAAGACGACATATATGCAGAACAAAAAAGTCTTCCAACATTTTCAGTATGATGGGAAGTGACACTGTCATGTAAGTTGTTCATTTTGAGTATAAGAAAAACCATCAGAACAGATAAAATGGAATTCGATCATATAGCTTCTGTAGAGCTTTTCAAGGCGCATCTTATAAAAAAAAATTCAAGATTTTATCATTTTCCTAAGCCGAGATATATGCGAAATAAAAATTGTTACAACATTATGGACACCATGGAATTAAAAAAATGTCCTTTTTCTTCTAATACACTATTTATACTTTTAACTGCATTTGATGTTTAACGTAAATATACTCAAAGATGCAGCGAGTCCTTGGCTTTCTCCCTATATATAGCAAGTTAATAGATAAAACCGTATAGTAATAAAAAACAAAAAGATCAAAGGGTATAAATTCAATTGTCCCCTAGTGTAATTATAAGATTATTGAAAATCTTATGTTCTTGTAAAATCTTTCAAGAATCTTACAGTAGACTTAACTTAAGATTTCTAAAAGTAAGATTTCTTCTGATGTTAAATCGAACTTTTTCGATCTGAATAGTTTTGATAGTGTTGACATCAGAAATATTTCCATGTATGCTAATATAATATGTACTATTTTAAGAAAAACAAACAAATATTCAATGATTACATTGAAATCTTGAGAATCAACATAAATATAGGATATTGAGAAAATCTTCGTCATATTTAGATCATATGGACTGATATTTTTACCATTGATAAAGCTATTCTTAGAACTCGTATACATAAGAGAAATGTTATTAAAAATCATTTTGAAATATTTACAATGAACTTTGACAAATAATTGTAATCCTTGACAAGTTATAAAAAAAAGGACATGCGTATTTGTTCCCTTAGCCAAAAATAAATGACATCTAATTTTTTTCCATTATATATTTACACTAGAGACACCTGTCTTATTATTTATTGTATCCTGAAGGTTCTGGTCATAACAACAAAAAAAAAATTTGTTGAGAAAACTACAATATTAGTTTTTTGATAACTCGTGAAATTTTATTGATCTTTGTTGAAGACAACTCTACATCTAAGAAATAATTTTTGAGAATTTATCGCTTATTTTAATATGAGCTATGAACACTCATTCTGTTATTAATGGTTAAAATATCAGATCATATGGTTGTTATACGGTAAAGATATTTAAATTATTTTTTGTCTAGTGATTTTGTGAAGATTTTATGTAAGTCTAAACATATCAGATAAAATATTCTATTGGTTTTAGTGATTAATGAAGTTAGCCTTCATGAAATGGTATTGATTTTTTTGCTTAATCAGTCTCAATGTAAGTTAATTATCATTAATAAAAATCTTGTTTTAGTTTTATTCTATGCGTTTGCTTTCATTGAAGTCATATAACAAAAGAAAAGAAAATTCGATTGAATATGCCCGAAGCATTTCAAGAAACATATGATGTAATAAGAAAGACAATATATGAAGCTCATATGTCTTATATAAATCAAGGCTAACAGAATAGAATGATGAGATTTATTCTATAATGGTTCATAGCTTTACTCTCAATTGATGAGATTAGATCTAATAGAAAATCATCATTGATTTTCAGTTCAATGGAAATATTGGTTGATTCTATGCAAATATGATAAGTTCATCATAGAATTTCAATCAAGTGAACCGATATGGAAGCAATCCTTTTAGCAATTATATGCGGTTAGATTTTTTTTTTTTTTTGGCTAATGAAAAAAAAAAATAACAGAAAACTTTTCATCAACATAAACTAACTAGTGAGTACATTGAAATGTATTTTATTTATTCGACTGAGTCATATTTAGTAAATCTACGTTTTTCTTTTTTTTTGATTTTAATTGCTAGGAAACATTCATCTGCATTTTAATTTTGAATAACATCATCTATTTATTATTGATTAAATAGTTTTAAATATTGACTTGATCTTTCATTTTCTAACAAGAAATGCATATAAAATGAACCACTTTATTTTTCAAAGCTTAAAGATATTTTCAAATATATTATTCTAAGGTAAAAAAGTAGATAGTTTTACTTTCTACAAAAAAAATATGAATGACCTATTTCTAAAGAATTTTATTGTCATAAACAAAAAAAACAACAAATTATTAGAAATTCGCACTGTATCTTTCTTTTTTTTTGAATATAAAGAAGATTAAAACATCATTTGTCAAAAATTTTCATGAAAACTTGAGTTCGTTTTTTGTGAAAATTTGAAGTTAGAAATTAAAAACTATTCTTTATCAAATTAATTAAAAAAAGAATTTTCAATAATTCAATTTAAATTTAACAATGCATGTTGAAATATGACGTTAGACAGGAAACTTTTATAGTACAAGAAGGTCTAGTATATTATGATATACACTTCAATATTCATAAATAAGAATGATATTAGAAAATAAATTTAAATTAAATTTGATTTTTATTTTCAATTAGATAGATTTGATAACAAACAATTATGTTAATTTAATATATCATCAAAAAAATGTGTAATGCAAATGAATCCGATCAAAATAACAAAAGAAAGTTTTAATTAAACTAATTCTAAGTGAAGCAAAAAGAAAACATAAGAAAGATGTTATAGAGTACATTCTCGAGTTTTGCATCCGTTTTGAATTTGATTCTTTACATATGAAAACATCATGTTTTTTTTTTTACATAATTAATTTAATGTGTAAGAGGGTCAAAATTTTATTATATTTTTAGATTTTAAAATTATTTTTTCTAAAAATTTTTCAAGAACATAAAAAGTAACTCATTCTTTATGTATGAGTCGTTCCTACAAATATTAAATAGACAAAAAAAAAAAAGAAAGTAATTGCTATGAAGACACAAGTACTCATATGCGTTTATATATATATATATGTTGTTGACTTAAGCTTTTGTCATTTATCCTCTGGCTATAGACTTTGTTGAGAGTTAATAATACCATTTGGGATTTCATCAATAATCGGATAGATTGAAGGTCACTAAAATACCCATCAATTTTCATTCTATCAATCGTGTGATCGATTAAAAATACCATTATGAAATTGTAAAAAATACACATTGCACTAATATGTCAATATGTACTACTAATTGATGATTAATAATTATTGAAAATATTTTCACTTATATACGATTGTGTTAATATACGTTGTTTTATAGTCATTATAGTGACTAACATATGATATTAATGAATCGTTAAACAGGAAACTTTTCTCATCTTACCATTTATGATTAAAAAAAAACCATATTAATTGTTTGAGATAAAATAAATAACCAACTGCCCATTCAATGTCATTGTATGACATATAAGGTATATTTTTGTTATTATAAAACAGAAATGTACTGAATTCCGTGTCACATAATTCATAAATTCATAATGATCTTGTCCGAAGAACTAATAATTGGTTTTTTTTAAATAAATAAATCAATATATCTGTATATATATTGTTAAATATTAAAAAGTAACAAAGCATAGGTAGTTTGCGTGCAAAAACTGAAGTATATGTAACTAGAGAAATGCATTCCAAGATTTCCTATTCAATAATTTACAAAATCGACTTGAAACTAATTAACAATTTTTCTATAGAACATAGTCATGATAAAGTATCATATATATAACTTTCAATTGATTCGTCATAGAACCTTGAGTAAGTACGTCATAATCATGATTCATCTTTAACGTCTTTTTTATTCCAAGCAATGACAATATGTTTTTGCTTCTTCATAATAAAGATAATTAGTAGAAAAACGTTTTCTTTTATGAGAGATAAGCAAGAATAATAATCTTTAGTGATTAAGATTTGTCTAGTCTTTTTCCTGTCAAATCGACAAGCACGAAATATTTGCTTGTTGACGTTATCGGTGTTTATGTAAGAAAGCGATGTTTTACTATTTTTAGGAGCATATATATATATATCTGTATGTAATTATTCAAGCGATAGAAGTTTTTATGTGAGAAAAGAAGAAGGATTAAACCAAGTTGAGCTTATTGGCCTCATTGGTTTTTTTTTTCGTGATGAAAATAGTCGTCAACACGCATATATACATGCAATCCGAATTATAGATATCATAAATCCACATATAGATTGCATTCTTTTTTTTTTTCTTATTCTCCTTGATCCCAACTTGTTTGTAATGTTATTTATTGGCACAATTAACATTGTATCCATCTGTTCTTTTGGTTGATATGAAAGACAATAATTCGATATCAAACAGACCAAAGGTCGACACCTCTATTTCTTGTGCCCTGAACCTTCTATCAGTTTTTGATTCTCATCTGTCATAAAAGATGCATGTATGTAGGCTGAAGGACAGTTTATCTTTCGTTTTGGAAAAAAAAGAGGAAATAGATTTAAACGTCCGGCTTTGTTCCGTTCATTATTTGGTCGACTAACGATTGGTGTTCTGATGTAATTATTCTTCTCTACTTATTTCTGATATGAAACGATCCGCCTACACGTTCTTAGTTACAAGCGCTAACTTTACTCTTATTGCTTCTCTATTTTTTCTACATCGGAAGGAACTCAGGTTTTTTTTTTCTTTCTTTCTTTTTATTTCACATGACTTCTTTTTCTATTCAAGTTCAATTCAAAAATGATTCAATCTTGCGCGACTAACATGAAGGTCATATGCGCATTTCTAAATAATTTATTACTGTAGCTAAATTTTGCCTTTCTTTTTTTAAACAGGCCTCTTAGTATGTAGTGAAGGAATGCGTCACTTCTGATTTATGTTTGCGTCTTTCTCTCTCATTGCTCTTGGCGTATTGTCGACACGAGTAGCAATTATGTGCACTAAGAAGTTGTGTGTTATATGTATAGGGATGATGATGATGAGAGTATAGATGTGTATTGAACTGTTTCTCGCTTGTCATCACTGTCGATTACTCTGACTATATAGCCTTTTCTTCTTGTTCTTCTTTTTCTTTCTTTTTTTTCTATATACATTGATGACAAAAGAAACCGGAAAGAACAACGATAAAAAAAGAAACATCGTATCACTATTCATTCGTCACCGATCGTCACAAAAAAAAAAAAAGAACAATGAATTATCTTTTTCTTTTGTATAAAATACCTTTGTTTTGGTTTCTTTTTTTTTTTTTAGTTTATTTCTTATTTACTCGAATATGTCAGCAACAGATAATTGGATAAAATTATATCGATGGTGGCAAGAACATTTAAAATCTCATTTTCATTTATCTTCATCAAACATGAATGAAAATCATCATAAAAAACGAAGTTCTTTATTACATCGTCGTTCATCACTTATGTTATTTCGTTCTCCGAATACTACTCTTTTAATGAATGCTAAAAAACGAGCTTCATTTGGTGGTGTTGAGGAACATCAAGAACTAGGTTATGCCATTGGCAATGGTGGCTTTCGGCATGTGCGTGATAGTATTCGTAGCAAAAATTCCCGAACGACACGATCAACAGCAACTGTCACGAACAATAAAAGGTCAGTTAATTGAAAATCTTGTAGATTGCTTTTCTTTTTTTTTTCTCTTTCATATATATATAAAATAGAAAGAAATATTCATAGATAGTTCATGAGAAAATAGAGATATGAATAGAAATTCTTTCATTTTATTTTTTTGTTTTTGTCTATAAGGTAAGAACGTTTTTATTCATTTTGAGACAAGTGCTTTATAAAAATGAATATATATTTTTATAGAATAAACATAAGGTTTTTTCTTTTTTTTTTCTAATATATTGTTTTGTATGTCTGTAAAGCGTAAAAAAAAGAAAAAGAAAAATGATTTTACAAAGTATTGTATTTGATATACGTATCAATAAACTACGGATGTACTATTCAATCTATACTAACAACATCAATTAATAAACAACACTATAATATTATAAAAAAAAATGATTAACACGATATTTCTCTTTTATTATTATTGTTCTATGAATAAAAGTTTTTTGTAACAAAGCAATAGACATTTTTATTAATGAATATAAAAAAAAAAAAAAAGTGATAAATATGTTACTGAATGGAATAAAAGCATATTTAAAATGTTGTCTAGTTGTTAAAAAACAAAAGAGTATAATAAGTAGGATTTCCTGTATATTCTCAAACGATCATTGAGTAAAAACTAGTAGATCATAATTCTATTGATGACAATAGAGTAATATGAATTCACACCATTCATCTATCTTGATTTTCTTGTCTTCATCTATCGGTAACGTCTCGTTTTATTAGATTTGCTTGAAGTTAATAGATATCTAGGTGGCAGACTGTCTCGTCATCAAAAGATTATCAAATGTACGTGAGCAACCAAAAAAACTTTTTTTTTTTCTTTTTGAAGGCTATTTATATATATATACATATTGTGTAGATATTCGTATTCTGATAGCTAGGTAAGTATCCTTGATGATGAGTCTAGTCATTTGACTTTTAAGATTTGTTTATGCACATGTTTGGATGAATTTCTCTATATCAATTAAATGGCACGTAGCTGCTTGTCTATCGATCTTTGTCTGACTAACTGCCTTTAGGATGACGCAATTGATGATTAAGAATATATATTGCCTTGATGTGATGACGGAAAAGAGAAGAAAGCCTTGAATTATCGATATAAGTTGACGTAGCTACACTCGATCTCAATGAAGAGAAACGATTGAATAGTGATGATTGTCATGCTACTATATGTTTCGATGTTGACTAACTAGATCACTAGTTTAGTTCAGTTTTTTTTTTCTTCTTTATTTATCATAATGATACATAGAGAGACAACAAACTTTGAAATATTATGGTTATGATTAAACGATAATAGAGAACAAAAGGACTTTCCCTAAGGACATAAAGTATATTATCATACGACTATTAATACCACACGTTCTTCTCGTATGACAGAAAAAAGAAAAAAGAAAGAAAATGACATAATGATTTCATTAATCATATTGAATGTAATCAGATTTCTCTACAATTTCCTTTTTGTTTTGATTTAAAAGAAAAATTTCTTCATATGTTACTTGAATATATATATATATAAACATTTGTATTATTCTGGAATATGTGCCGAAGCATAAACGAGAAACAATGCTTGACCCTTAGCATGCACGCACATACACGTTTGTATTTTGGCTGATATAAACATCAAAATAAAGAGGAAGATAGATTAATGGTCGTTCGACTCTATGGTGCTTTGTTATTCCTGTAGTTACTATTGTTGACATTCACAGCTAGTTGACTGATTGACTAACTGATTGGCTGTTTGATATTGGCCAGCGTTGGCATTCGTCTTGTACATATTATGTAGTTTATACGAAGAAGAAAAAACAAAAAAAAAAAAAAAGAAATATTATTTCCAGATTTTGTCGATATCTTCCATATTCTATGTCCTAATAATTCGAAGAGAAGATAACCGATGAAACGAAAATTCAATAATCAAATTCACCTTCATATATCATTCAACAACAACATTTTTGTTAAGGTAAAGTAAAAATATAATAAACCTATATAGGAATATATGACATGTCATGGGTAGTACTATGACATCGATGATAATCTAGCATACATTCTTTTTATTTGATATGTATATGTGTTTTTTTTTTGAGGAACATATATAAACATACATGTCCATTACATAAAGAGTGGAAGAGAGATCTTGTGAGTCTATAAGAATCGATTATAGATTAACGATAATGTTCTTATTTTTTCTTGCTTGAATAATAAATCATAAGAACATAGTGAGCTAAGTAGTTTACAGATATATATATATATGTTTTTGGTTTTCTCCTTTATGAATGTGTTTTTATATAAAAATAATTGATAAAAAATCATGTGTTTTGATGTTCTCTTTTTTTGTTCTTATGATAAAAATATGGTAAAAAAAAAAAAGAGTTTCTATTCTCATCAGTTAGAATGACAAAGATAGATGATTCTTAGTCAAAATAATGTAGGTGTCAGATAAATATTCTCATATAATCCAATCAAATATTTCATATATAAATTAATTTTTATTAAAAAAGAAAAAGATTGTCATTATCATCTGAATGAATGATGAACATCACTTGTATTTACTCGCTTCTTTATTTTTTTATATTCTATAGTTAATCACATCACATCTTATCGTCAAGGGATTGAAAATGTATAAGATTGAAGATACGATAATAAATAATGAGAAAATAAAATCTATATCTTCTTTACTATTTAAATCATGCTTTTATTGCTCAATCATGTTCGAAGTTGAATTAAAAAGAAGAAGAGAAAAAAAAAAAACTAACAAGCTTCTTTTTTTTCATTTAATGACATAAAAAAAACTTATTTTAAGCGATAAAAAGAAGAAGAAGAAAAAAAAAGAAAGTCTAAATAGAAAATGCGTGCATATTTGGATATTTCCTTTCTCTCTTTTTTTTGTTTTTCTATCTCTCTTAGTCTCATCTTCAAACAAACTCTATCTCTTTTGCATATAAAAACTATGCTCGATCTCTTTTTATTTCTATAAGTCTGATAGTCGTGACAATGAGACGCGATTAGACGGCAAAAACATTTGTTCACGCTAAAACGCTTTCATTTCATCCATACTCGTTCATCATCAACATATACACACATGTTCTTTACTTGTCGGAAATCCACTTGTTGTCGTTAATAGCCTTACTACTAACATTGAATGTTTGCATATGTTGTTTTCTCATCATTTATCTCCTTCGGCTTACATCATTGATGAACATTATCATCACACCGGACGTATTTTTTTTTTCTTTAACAAATATATGATAATAAATATGACAACAGCAACAATAACGGAAATAACAACTTGACAAAAACAAAGAAAAACTACGCACATCGTTTTTCTATTACCTTTCGTTTTATTTTTTTTTTCTAATAACTAATATGGATATACCATTATCATCATCATCATCTGATATTGAGCATAAACCGAAACGACCTTCAAATATACATCGTTTTCGTAATCGATGTCGACAAATGTTGGCTCTAACAAGACAACATAATATTTTAAGGTCGGTTTTTTTTTTCTCGATTTGTTATTAAAAAATTTTTTTTTCTCGTCCGTCATCTTCAATAATCAAGTCAATTTATATATATATATATATCAATATATATAAGATCTGAAGACAATCTCCGGAGATTGCTTTCAGTCGATTAATGAGAAAAAAAAAAAAGTGAAATGAATGCACATTATCATTTAGACTGTATGAATTTCGATGAAAATAATTATTTTAAGGGATCAATATTGTCAAATCTTCGAAAAAAATATAATATGAAGTCTTTTATTATCATCATCGAACTCAATCTCCTTCACTTGAGTACCCTTTTAAAAGATATTCTTTGCACTAAAACAACTAGTCATATTTCATTATTTCTATGTTAAGAACTAATGCATTCATTTAGGAGTCAGCAAATGCTTGTTTTATCATCGATAAGAAAAAAAGCTTTAGAATGACAGATCGTTAGATATTCATACATACAAATTATTATCAGCACATCGTTGTTCGTTCGATAGATTTTTTTTTTTTTTTTTTTTCTCTCCGTTTTCTCAATTTCCAGGAGGTATTAGATAGCAAATATTTGTGAGTTTTTATATCTCATTATAGTCTTTGTAGATATTTTCATTTATTGAAAGAAAATCCTTTTTCTATCAATTCAGATGAATTTTTTTTTAATATATATAAATAGAATTGTTAATGAAATTGTTATGATCGATGATAGAAATTGATCTTAGACAAGGATATAATATAATTTATTAGTAGAGTTAAATGACATGATATCCAACAATAAGTTAAACTTGATGACAAACAGGTTGAAACTATCAGTAACATATACAATATATATGACATTTACGTTCACAAAACTATTGATATTCTTCTTCTTAGGAATATCGACTCATTAGGTATGCAATTAAAGAATACATATACGATTTTTCTATCTTGATAACTAATCTTAGTTAATATTGAAAATATAGACGTCTCTTTTTTTTCTCTTTTTTTTTTTCTATATGACATTACACTTGAGTGGCCTGATCATTTTGACTCATTAAAGATGTTTGTTAGTTGATATAATTTGAGTTGTTGACTACCTTCATTGAATTGACATCTTCTTTTCCTTGTTCTATTATTATAACCTGAATAAACATGAAGAGAGAAAGAAAGAAAAAAAAAAATTTGAGGAACCGAACGAGAGGTGGTAATGACGATGATGAATTGCATATAAGAACTAAATCATATATTTAAAAAGGAGTTTCTTTTTTAGACGTCGGTTCCGTAAATCAACAACGTGTGATATATCATCTGACGAAGTTCTACCTGATGAAAATAATCTCGAATCTTCTAAATCAACACCAATGAATCGAATACGTCATGGCGGTACAAGACGTTTTTCTCTTGTTAAACTTGAATTACCAACTGGAGATTCAAATGCATCATCAACAGGTTAATTAAAAATAAAATATTTTTCTTTTTTCTATTTTTTTTTTTTTTTGTTTTATTTTAATAAAGATGATGGGAA